CCGCGGGAGAAAGATGAGGCTTTCTACTCCCGTAAAGATTTACACCCTCGGAAACCCTGTACAGGGTCGCTATGGGTCAGAACCGACTCAACGGCACTTAACAAAACAACAACAATGGAGACCTGGTATGGTGTTGTGGGTTAATGCGCCAGACTGCAAAGCTGTTTGAACTGCAAGGTCGGCAGTTTAAGCTTACCAGCTCATCCTTGAAAACCGTATACAGTGTTGCTATGGGTCAGAAGCAACTTGAGAACACTTTACAACAACAGTGGCTAGTGATGGTGAACATTTCTTCATATGTTTGTTGGCTGCCCAAATCTCCTCTTTACTTAAGTGTCTGTTCATGTCCTGTGCCCATTTTTTTAATTGGGTTATTTGTCATTCAGAGCTGTTGGTAGTGGTAGTCAGGCACCATGTAGTTCTTCTTGTCTCTGAGTCATGCACGCTGATGTTCACATTGTCCATTAGTCCATTGCACTAATTGTTTCCATCGGTGTTTGATTTTCTTCACTGTTTGCTCTGGATAAGGAGTTACAGCTACTCATAAGCACTTAGGGCCATAGTTGCTATTCACCAATGCAGGTTTTAGAACTTTGTTTCTGTTGACTCTTTCAGGTGACCTTAGTGTCCCTAGAGACAATGTAAGGAAGTCCCCAGGCCCAGGGACTCATTTCCTCAAGGTTTTTTGTTATGTCTAAGAAGTATTCATAATCTCCTCCTCCCACCCCCACCTCCCATATACTCTACTATATTCAGGGATATATTTGCATTATAGGTAAATACCTATGTTGTTGTTGTTATGTGCCGTGGAGTCAATTCCAACTCATAGCTACCCTGTATAGTGTTTCTGAGGAACTGCTGCTGGGTTTGAACCACCAACCTTGTGGTTCCCAGTCCAGTGCTTATCTTACAGTGCTACACTTAGGACTCTACTTCTTGATTTTTTTTGTTGTTCAGTGCTTTTGTCGGTTCCAACTCATAGCCACCCTGTATAGGGATTAAGAAAGGTAAAAATTTACTAATTAGATTTTAATTGGAATTGAAACATGTTGAATCATAAGAGTCTTATCCCCATATCTTTTCACCAGACCTTTCCATACAAGATGAAAGCTATTCAATGGGAATTCTCCTTCCCTCTCAGTTGGTATTTTGAGCTACTACACCCAAAAGTATAGGTCAAGATTATCAAATTGTAGCAATTTATACTTGTTTTCCTTTATCAAATTTCATTGTTTTCCTCTGATCGAGTTCTGATCATCAAGCCATCAAAGCTAGGTCAAATGGGTACTGTCTACAAGTTTCGGCGTTCCTGTGCATCAGGATGAGTCTTTTCTTAATGTCTGTCTACCTCATTAACACTGCAAGCACTATGAGGGCACAGACAGTATTGGTTTGTTTTATTACCTCTAGTGCCTACGGTATACAGAACCAAAATCAGTGTGTCCATTCTTACTTATGGTGACCCTGTAGAACACACAGGAGCTGGTGGCTTTGAACCATTCCTACTAGGTTTCCTTCTCTTTTAAATGGTGAAAGGAATTCCTATAGAGCTTTTTGGTTGGTTGGTTTTTGCTTTGTTTTACAGTTTATAGTGTACTAAAACTAGTTTGATGAATTAAATACGTATTCTCTT